TCAAAATTAATTTCGGTCATCGTGTGTGCTGCAGGAACTAATACATACATCCGATAGTTGATACAATTACTCGAATAAATAATTGTTGCTCATTTTTATTTCCATCCTTTTAAGATCGACTGCACTTTCAATGGCATAAACTATAAAGACTTTTTCAAATAGATAACTATGGTAAAGATACATTCACAACCACAATTAATGCTGACAACATTATAGAGCAGAAAATAACATGAAGGGATATATATATATATATTTAACCGGGACATGAACGAAATTCAATCCACATTCATTATTTAAAAAATTGCGAAGTTATTAGACTCGGATCGATTGATCTAATCATTTGACATACATATTGATATAATATCAAAATTAATTTGTGTAATTTTTTTTTCAATTGGATATTTTCAAATAATAGGATCTTCGTCTATCATAAAAACGAATTTCCTTTCGCCAAAAAAATTTACTGTCTAATCAATGGAGACTCAATTGAGAAAATCATTTATTTGGAAACTCAACAAAGACAGAGGTGATAATTGGATCCTTTTTCATTTTTTAGTTGCCCCCAGATCGAGAAGTTGGGTTGGCAACTTGTTGGGAATGGAGAGAAAGCACGAGGCCCTGAGGAAAAAAGCAGAACAAAAAAAGACCAACTTTCTTTCGCAACCTGCTTGTAGGATTGCATTTGTCGGTTCCTTATTTTTAACTGGAGTCATAGAGTCCTTCAAACTTGCACACATACCATACAAGCAAAGAAACTTCAGCATGGGCTTCCAAGAAAGAGGTTTTGTTCCATCCTCTCAGGCATGTTTTTCGTTTTTCTTCGCTTCTTGATTGCGAATTTCATCGAATCCTCTTCAATCTCCTGAAATTCGATATCTTTGAGTGGTTCCTCGACTCTTCCGAGGTTTGAAGAACACAACCTTTTGGAAGGTAAATGTTTTCATTTTTTTTTTTTTTACATGAATTTGGTTCTTTGTGAGGGATTTACCTCGTCTTTTTTTTTTTTTTTCAGTGTAGTAATTTATCATTCCAATTAATTAGCTGCTACTCAAGTGATTCTGTCCATAAGATAATTGTTATGCATGACTGTTAGATTCGATATAAAAATTTATTGGAGTGGTTCCTCAACTAAAGCATGGCTTGAAGGACACAACAACATATCTTGGCAGATGCCTTTTTTTTTTTTTTTTTTCAATATGAATTTGCTTAATCATTCCAACGAATTAGCAAATCTGATGGGTTTATTTTGTTAAGTTATGAAAATTGACATGAATGAACCTAGGATTTTTCTTTTCATTATAACCCTAATTATTTAAAATATAAATAAAAATAATATCACTTATATTTAAAGTTATTATTTAAAATTTTTTTAATAAGAAATCCTAATACAGATCATAGAATAGACACAATTATTAAACCGTCTAAATCCTCTTTCTACTTTTTTTTTTAAAAAAAAAATTTGTTTCCTAACATGTTTTTTCTTTTATAATGAACCATCATAATCAGCAACATCTGAGGCTTGATGGTACCAATGAGTCTATGCTTATTAATTTAGAAAAAGCATTTGCAACTGCTGAAAATGGCTACTTCAATGCAGTTGGGCCCGCGGAATTAAAGCAAGTTAAAGTAAAGTACGGAGAAGCGGATATTCTTGGAGCTGTTATTACCCCATTAGATCATTAATTTTTAATTTTTAACTTTCCTCAACCTTCCTGTTAATATAATTCTTGATATCCTTAATTTTTCTATTTATTTATTTGTGTTCTTTTTAATTAACTACAAATATTATTAAAATGGCTAATTGATTATAAAGTATTTTGAATTTTTTGTCAACAAGAAAAAAATCTTTAATCTTTTTTATTTTAATTTGGATTTTTCAAACCTTTTTTCAGGATCCGTAGTTAAATTATTTTGTCCAATTAACAAATTTCAAACAACATTAGATGTGTTTGAAAAGCATTAAAACCATTAAAACAATAATACATGTTTTAGAAGAGACATTTTTAGATATTACTAAAAAAATAAAAGAAAACACGATTTTATTATTCATTTTCATTATTTGAAATACTATTCACATACTTAATACTTATAAATCATTATTCATATACTCACAAATCACTATTCATTTCACTATTTATGTTATTTTTTTTAGCACTCTGGTCCTCAATTTTTTTATACTTTTTTTCTTCAAATTTAAACTTTAATTGTATTGTGATTTGATTTCATTTGGTTTTAGTCCTTTCTTTTAATTATTTTTATTATTTAAAATTTACTAGTTTAATTTGTCATTTTTTTAATATAGTCATATGTTATTAATATTATGATCATATTATAATAATATTATTTTTCTACACTAAGTATTTACTTTTTATTTATTTATTTTTGAATTAAATAATTAAAATAATGTTTTGGCTTAACCACTCAATGATTCAAATTAATATAGTTTTTTATTTTAATATTATTCATTCTTTTATAAATAAATATATAAAAATTAAATTCATATTTTTTCTAAAACTAATATTCTCATCAACATTAAATTAAAAAAATTATTTTTTCAATTCTATATAAGCTTTTAATAATTATTATTTATGTTTTTCGACACAATCTTATGAAATACTAAAGTTTTTTTTTAAAAAAAATTATTTAATTTTCTTTTTAGTTAATAATACATGGATTAACAAGGATAAATCTTTTTCTAAAGAAAAGATTATGAAAAACACAAATAAGAAATAGTTAAATACAAAATTTTTTATCTTTGATTTCAAATATATTTTCTAAACGATTTTATATATTTTATCCAACCCGCAACATAATACTTGCAAAAAAACTAGTGTAAACTATTAAAACGTTACGAGTCTTCCCAAGTGTGTTCATGTCATATGAGATTAATTAACAAGAAATTTAATCTTAATACGGGAATAACTAACAATACTTATAGATGAGAAATTTTATTTTATTCTAAAAATAACTAACAATACTTACTCTATAGGAAAAAAAAATGGGCATAAAAAAAGAAGACATAGAATAGAGAATTATATAAAAAAAAAACTTAGAAAAAATGATTGGAAAAACGTTTTTGGTAGATTTGAATGTATGTTTTTGTACCAGTCTTCTTTCATCTAAGTAAATTCACGGAATAATTATTATATGTTACTCTTGAGTATTTTAAAATTTTTCCTAATTAAAAGGATGTAGAAATTTAACCACAGATTAAAAAAAAAAAAATTCAAGATCTAAATTGAAATAATATAATGTAACATATTTTTTCCTTGTTGACCAAAATTTGAGATTACCTTATAACTGAATAAATTATAAATTAGCCCCTCTTATTTTGAAAAATGAATTAATTAGTTCTTATTATTTAAAAAATAATTATTCAGTCCCTATATTTTGAAATCTAATTATAATTTATTCTTTTTTGCTTCTTTTTAATTTTTTTGTTTCAAGAAATAGAAAAAAGAAAGAAATATGGAAAAATATGAAAAGATTGATGAGAAAATAAGAAATTTTGTGGAAAAAAAAATATAAAATTAAACATGTTCAACACCGATTAAAAGATTAAATAATAATTTTTCAAACAAAAGAGACTAATTTATTTATTTTTTAAAACTAGAAGGACTAATTTATAATTTACTCTCGCATAGAATCATTGTTGTTAAAAAAAAAAAATATAGTATCAAAATACTGGTCCAGTGAGAAAATGAAGCCCATAACTCAAAGACAAAACACTTCTAAACTCCATTTAAAGAAGGCCGGAGGTCCACTGAGACAAGCCTGTCGATTCTATGAACTACAAGCCATTCATCTTGATATGGAGTGGCTAAATGCATCATGTTTTGAGACGTGTAGTGTGATTTCCTATTCTTGAGGAGCAGACAACCCATCTTTTCATGTTTTTTTCAGGCAAATCAGGGTTCGATTGGATTAACCATGGAACTCGCAGAAGAGGAAGAAGTGCAGTATGGGGATTGATTAAATAGATGGATTAAACAAGAAGGATAAGATACCCTAGCTACTTTCAGTTTTTTTAATGGGACATAGGGCAAAAGCTTTTTTCTTTTGTTTTTTATTTGATGATTTGTGTAGTTGTATTTGGTTACATAATTAGCAATGTCCTTGTTAATGCTTGGACCAGCAAAACATTTTTCGCATCTATTATACATGGAATTTGGGCTTTTCTACAAAGCCCAACAAAATTAGGCCCAAATACTATCATGAGCTCTTTCTCTTGAGATCACAAACCACTTAGTCCAACACTCTAAAAACATACCTAATACCCATTACTTCATACTATAAATATAAATATAAAAGCTTTCTTCTTTCTACATACAACTCCCAAAGTTCAACAGCTACGAGAGAACTTTAAAAACAGGAAGAAAAATATTCATACAATACTTCTAAAAACTCCAAAAAAACAAGTTCAATAAGGACAAAACTCATAAAAACATACAAAAAATATATCTCTCTCTCTCCATATAAATACTTATACATCATCATCTTTGTACGTACATACATCATGTTTAAAATACCAATTTAACTATTGGAGCGATTTTGCCTACGACCTCTCGGCACCACTAACTCAGGTGTTTTTGCTTTATGCATGTAGGACTGCAGAAGACACTATCATCCTTATTGACACATTTTACGAGGCTAAACTTGGAGCTCAACAAATTCCGATGCTGAAAACTGGAGCATCATCAAGCCGTCTGTGGAAATGCGAGCAAAACTCTCCAATTTCTCCATATAATCTCCATGGCTTTCTCAGTCTCTAATCCAAAATGCTCCAATGTCTTCATACAATCTTCATAGCTTTCTCAACTTCCGATTTAGCAACAATAGTGTCCTCCTCTTTCCCTTGAACCATATTTAACTCTTGAATCTCCATGCAAAAAAAATAAAATTAAAAATAAAGCTAGATCTGGTAAATCATCACACAAGGTACGGTCTAACTAATCTTTGTGCAAGATTGAAGATCAGTAAAGATGGTTTAATGGATAAGAATGAAGCTGCTAAATAAAAAGGCAAGTTCTAAAAAGTTATCTCAAGGTGAGCTGCAGCAGCAAGTAACTTTGAAAGATGAAGAAATACAACGCCTCAAGGACCTGCTACATCAAGGAATGAACAACCTTCCTGTTAATATAATTGTTGATGTCCTTAAATTTTCTGTTGATATATTTGTGAGTTCTTTCTATTAACTACCTATAGTATTAAAATGTTAATTTACTTTAATTTTTTTTATCAACAAAAAAAAAATCTTTAATTTATTATTAATCTAATTTTTTGGATTCAGAACTTTTTTTGTTATATATATATATATATATATATATTGCAAATAAGAGACATGTTATCTATTAAAACAACAATACGAATTTTGAAAGAGACTCGATCGATAATCAACAAGAAATTTTATCTTATTTAAAGAGTAACTAATAATCCTTACCCGATAAACAGAAATAAACACAAAGAAAAGAAATATATATATATATGAAAATATTTTTATGACTTTTAATGAATCTCGATATGATTTTTTCCTTCTTTTTTATATCCATCTTTTTTTTTTCAAAATGGGTTCACGGAGTAACTATTATAAGTTACTCTAGAGAGAGACAAACACAAAGAAAAAAGAAAAATAGGAGAGAGAAAATTAAAAATAAATTTGAGATTAAGAGAAAATATTTTTATTACTTTTAATCAGCTTGGATATGATTTTTTCTTTTTCTTTTTTTCTTTTCATTTTTTTCTCAAAGTGGATTCATAGAGTAATTATTATAAGTTACTCATTGAGTATTTTAAAATTTATGTCAATCAACGAGATAAAAAAATTAGTATCAAAATTAAAATAAATATATAATTAATTTCTAACAAAACTCTATATATAAGAAAATAAAATTTACAAATTCTTTTTTAACTAATTATTAATTTAAAAAAAAATTGAGTCAAACTATCTAAAACACATTTTTAGTTCTCTCTTTCTCTAATCGAATTTATACATGTAACTATGCTAGTCTCATTTAAAAATTATAAAAAATAATTAATCGTATAAATAATAATAATATATTTTAAAAAATAACACAATCGCCTTCCAAAATTTTATTTCAAAATTCATTTATAAAAAAAAATTTATTGACAAATAAAATTATATCAAAAAATTAAAAAATTAATTGGATGAAAATTTTAATAAGAAGCAAAAAATTGAAGAAATAAAATTTAAACAATAAGAATAATATATATTCAAACTAAAATATTAAAAAAAATCATATATATTCTATTACGTCAAGCTAAATGTAAAACTAAAAAAAAATGGTCTATTTTCTATATTTTCACACCTAATTTCATGATAAAAATATATAAAAATAAATTATTGAAAGAAAAAAAGGAGAAAAGAGGGCGGGCATGTGCGGCCAACCCAACCCAACCCAACCCAACCCAGCCCGGCGATGGTAGGTCCGTGAGCTAGGCCTATGCGCCGGGTTGCTCCAACCTCCCCTACTCAAGGCTTGGGTTCGCTGGCGACTCAAAGAAAAAAAAAAAGGGTTAGGCATGTGCTAGCCCAAGAAAAAAAAAAGTCTGTAACTTCTAACGAGCTTAAGCTAGTTGGAAAATCGAGGATCCATATTTAGACCTCTTAAAAATCAATATTGGCATTATTTTTTCTCCTAAACACCTTTACATGACCGAAATAAAGTCAATAAACACTTTTAAGGCCTTAAAAACTCATTTTAATGCACATTAAAAATAATAATAATCAAATCGATTTTTTTTCTTTTTTGGCTCGATCTACATCTTTCTATTATTTAATGGCTTAAAATCACTATGAATAAACTCATATCTCAAAGGTAAAAAAATTTAATAGAGTTTCGTCGACCAAAGTGGCCAAAATAAGATATGTATTACAATGCTAAAAATTTTTAAATAAAAAAATATTTGACTTATGACCATAAATCAACCGAAGAGGAGAAAATTTCGATAACTTATGGGTCCGATACAAATAAATGTGATCGCATGCATGTCCCCAAATATAAACGAAGAGTTTTATTTTTAAATAATAGTTTAGCTATCAATTGGAGCTTTTTGATAAATGATTTTGCTAAACCTTTTTTGAGTATGAACATGAGCAATCGGATGTTCAACCTTTATTTTAATAGCGAATCAATAATAATTTAATGCTTGAGAAATAAATTCATTAGCATTATCAAGGTGACTTGTTTTATCCAAAAATCACTTTAAAATCCTCAAATAAATCACCAAAAATTTTAGATAGAATTTAGTTCTCAAAACACCGATTTTGCATATTTGATTTCTTTAATAGTTAACCATTAATCTCAAGCACAATAAATTTTATTTAACATAAATCACACATTTCAAGTATTAATTTCTCATGTTGTAATGAGAATTATACTTACACTTAATATATATATATATATATATATACATATATATACGATTAAGGATTTTCACGGGTGTTACAAAAGTTCTAGAAGGACTTAAGATGCTTAAAGCATGTAATACATATTCTCGAGAAACGAATTCAATTAATTATAGAGATCTATTAGAATTAATTATTTTAGTATTAGTTTTATTATTTTAGTTTTCAATTTATGCTATACTTTTATTTTTATTTTTCAATATATATTAATAACTCTGTATGCATGTGGTATAATTATTTCAATAAATATTTATTGAAACAAGATTATAAAAATAATTATATTTATTCAAGTATTTTTATAAAGAAATTCGAAAAGGGGTTCATGATAGTTGCTATATAAGTTAATAATTTAAATATTATTAGAACTCCCGAAGAGATTCAAAGTGCCATAAGTTATCTAAAAAAAGCTAATTTAATGTGAATACCTTAGGAAAATAAACTTTTATCTCGACCTGCAGTTTGAGCACTTAAAGAACAAGATTTTTATTCATCGGTACTTTATATAGAAAAAATTCTATATAAAGATCATCCATTAACTAGCCCAATGGTAGTCCATTCACTCGATATCTAAAAAGAACCTTTTTGATCTTGAGAAAATAACAAAGAACTTCTTGGTCCCGAAATACCATATCTTAATCCTACTCGGTGTATTGATATATCTTAATAATAATACCCGACCTAATATAGTCTTTTTCTCGTGAATTTATTAGTAAATCATAATTTTACTCTCATATGGAGATTGAAATGAAATTAAACATTTCCTATGTTATCTTCGAGAAAAAATTGATATAGTATTTATTTTACACAAATGAATCAAAGTCGGGTTTAATGAGTTATACGGATGCGGAGTTATTTATCTGATTCATACAAAACTCAATTAAAAATTGGTTATGTTTTTATACTTAGTGATATAGCTATATCATCATGTTTTATAAAGCAAAAGGTATTAGATATTCATACCATGCAAAAATACCAATTCATGAGGTAAGTCGAGAATGTGTTTGGCTAAGATCAACGATCCATCATGTTTAAGAGACATGTAGTTTATCTACTAGCAAAAGAAGTCCCAACAATATTATATGAAGATAATATTGCTTGTATAATTTCATTAAAGAAAGAATACATTAAAGTGACAATCCGACAAACTTATTTGCTAGGGCATTACTTACTATAATTTTTAAGAAGATGATTCACAAAATTAAAATACATCGTTTTAAAGATCTAAAATGTCATTTTCAACGGGGGAAAGCCAACATTGAGGTTAATGTATAGAAGGAATATTGTGCTCTTTTTCCTTCACAAAGAGTTTTTCTAATTGGGTTTTTTCGTTGTAAGGTTTTAACGAGGCATAATTTTTGTACGATGGACATTCAAGGGAAAGCGTTATGAAAAAATGAATATCCATTTCATATTCTTCACCATTCATATGATTCAATTTATCATTCAATATGAGAAATTTAATGAGTGATGTAATTTATTCAAGCATTTATGCATCTTTTAATGGTTCATAATCATTTCAAATTCTCTTTCTAATCTTGAAGCCTATAAATACGTTTGATTGTTCGTTAGTTTATGTATAAAAATTTTATAGGGATTGAGAGAATTATTTTGAGTTCTTATTATTTGTATTCACTTTATTTTATAGTGAATTTATTTTTCTATTATCTTTCTCTTCAACTATGCTATCGTTACTATTTCTTTCATAACACAAAGAAATACTTGATATTTTCACTTCTTTTTCTTCTTTTTATGTTCTCTACTTATTATTTTTTTTAATTTGGATTTCTCTCCTCTCTTATTTAATGTCTATTCTTTTTCTCTATTTTTTCGCATATTGTTATGGAGAAATAACCTTTAAAAGTACTATAAATACATACCTACAATAGTAAAAATAATACGTATAAAAGCGATCAAATTATGAGAATTTTGATGATAGTAAAATAAAATGAAACTAGTATGCTAAAATATCAAATTTTATTCTTAAAGTTAATTAAATATAAAGTGGGCGCTCATAGCAATAGTGATGATAAATATTATAAAATCTAAAGGATTTATTTTCATATTTGGACTTTTTATTTCAAATTATTTTGATTGAGATTCTATTTTCCTCTACTCTTTGTTTTGTATTGCTTAAGACCATCTGTTCTAATTAACACCGTTAGTTATGAGATGATGTGGAGATAATCTAATCTATCCAATTCTGAATATGTAACACATGTCATACGTGAAACTCTAATAAAAGAATACGATCAAAACAACTTAAAAAGAACAAAGATCAAATTATTATTATTATTATTATTATCATTATTCAATTTTTATGTTATTATGTTTTTAAGACCTCATTTTGAATGTCACAAAATGTATCATATGTGAGATCATATCATAGCAAAACTCTAAATTAAGGATTTTTTTAAATAATATAATAATTTAAAAATAATAAAATACATAAAAAATGAACCTAGTATACAAGTAAAAAAAAAGAGTATAAATAAGTTCGTGAAAATTAAAATGAAAACAATAATAATGTTTATTGCTAGCTAATTTTCTATATCAAATTAAGAAGATAATGTGGTGCAGTTTCAATTTTTTTTAAAAAAAAGAACTTTATTTTTTTATTTTGAATTGATCAAATATTCAAAAAAAAAATCATGTAATACTCACCTATTTATTACCCATTTAATACGGACAAAAAATAATTTATCAAATTATTTTATTTTAATCCTTATAATTTTTTAAAAAGTTATTTACTCCTTAAAAATTAATATTTTTTACAAGTTGGTACTTTATTTATAATATTTTGGTCCTCAAAGTTTTCATCAAAATATATGGTTCTTATTTTATAAATTTTGTGCAATCATATTTCTGAATATTGATTCAGTCATTCTATTGAAATCTCATTTATAACACATATTATGCATTCATAAGTGAACATACTATGCCATCTCCACGTCTAAATATAAAATTTTATTCTTAAAGTTGATTGAATAAAAATTGAATGCTTACAACAACAATCATAATAAGTATTACAAAATCTAAAATTAATCACAAAATGTGAATGATACTCGCCGAACTTCCTATTGAACACAAATAAACTAGTTGTTAGAAGTTTCGATTAAGCATAAAAAAAAAAAAAAAAAAAAAAAACAATTGCTGGAACTTTTGTGGAAGTTTGTGCTTGAGAAACATGAAATTGAGATTAGTAAAGGGTGGAAGAGTAACAATTTCCACAAGATCCGTAGGGAAAAAAAAAAAAAAAAAAAACTAAAGACAAAAAAAGCTGCCTAGAGGTTGAATGTTCGTCTGTAATTTAGATAATGATGGGTTAGACGTTCAAAACTGACCACACGATGGGCTTGATTGCCCTTACGATAGTTAGGTTTTGGAAACAATCTCACATTCTTTTTGATAGATAGAAAAGGAAAGGCACGAGAAGGAAGAGCAGAAAAGTCAAAATTGTATGCCTAAATACTTTTTCGAAAAAAGAAGTCTGTATAAATAGTTATACTCTAGTATATTCTTTTTACGAGTAAATTATAAATTAGTTCTTTTAATTTTTGAAAAATAAAATAATTAGTCTTTTTTTAAAAAAAATCAGTTATTTGGCTAGTGTTGCTTATGTTAATTCAATATTATTTAATTTTATAAATATCTTTTTTTCTCATTATTCTTTTTATATTTTTAAAATAAAAAATAAAAATAAATGAAAAAAATTAAATTATAAATAGATTTAAAAATAAAAAAATTAATAAATAACTAATTAATTCGTTTTTCAAAACTAGAATGATTAATTTATAATTTACTCTTCTTTTAACGCATACAAACACCCATCCATGGTATTTTTGCAGAACAAAATCTGACGAGTCAACTTCATACAGCCAAAGAAGCTTCAGAAGGAGCTTCCAAGAAAGAGGTTTTTGTTCCATCCTCCTCGACTTATATATTATATATAGTTAGATGCGAATTTCATCTAATCATCTTCAATCTCTTGAAAGCCTGAAATTAGATATCCTCGAGTGGTTCCCCGATTTTTCCTGTGGCTTGAAGAACACAACCGGTTCCCCGACTTTTCCTGTGGCTTGAAGAACACAACCTCCTGGTAGGTGAATGTTTTTATTTTTACATGGATTTGCTTCTTTACCTTATCTTTTTGTATTTATTTAAAATAATAATTTATCATTTCAATTAATTAGCTGCTACTCTAGTGAATATTCCGCCCACAAGATAATTGTTATGCAATAATGACAGTTAGGTGGTTTTTTTTGTAGCACTCATCTAGAGTGCTCATTAGCCATGATTCGAGATTTGCAATTTGATTTCCTTTCTCGATGAACAGACGACCTTTCGTCTCATTTCATTTTTCGCAGCCAGATCAGGTGTTGATTGGAATATCGAGGAATTAAATTAGTTGAATGAGGGTGAAAAAGAAGGATGAGGATTTGATTGGAATATTAACGTCCATACGGTACTTTTTAAAGCCTGAGACAGAGCCCAGAGCCTAGCCCCCAAGTTGGGCTTGCTATTATTCTAGACCCCACCTTATTCTTTTTCTTTTTTCCCTTTGAGTTTAGCTTTAATCAATTTCAACAAAATAGTAGAATTATATGGAAATTTTGATGAAATTTATAAAACAAGAATATAATTGAATAATTGAACAGATTTACCCCTATTGGCCTAGTAATTAAGAATTTTTTTTTCTAAAAAAAAAATTAGGTTCAAATCTTGAGGTCAATTTTTAGGAAAATTTATTAAATTTCTTTGAATATATTATATTGATGTAAAAATACATTTTTAAAATGGTTCTGGAAGAGATTTAATCTCAACTTATCCACACAAAATATATATATATATATATATATAAATACTTTTATCATAAAAGTAAAATAAAATGGACAGATGAGTGGATAAAATAATGATTTTCAGCATCATTTAATTCTTTTAACATCAGAAACAACATCAATGACGTTCTTTAGGTTAGTCACTTCACAAATATATATATCGTGGACCGTCTGCAATTTTTAAAACTAGATGTATTGGAGTGATTCCTCAAGTAAAGCCTGAAGGAGACAATTACAACATATCTTGGCAGGTGACTTCTATTCTTGTTTCAATATGAATTTGCTTAATCTTTCCAACGAACTAACAAATTTGATGGGTTTATTTATTTATTATAATGGACCGTTTGAATAGGTTGTCATTAACCTAGTAAGTGCTCTCAGAAATATAATCTGTCATGCAAATGGATTTTTGTTAGATTTAATTTTCTGAATTTATTTTCATTATAAATCCTCTTAATTTAATATGGCACAAAACTCGCTATTTTTATCCTTAATGTTTGAGGATTGAAGTCTATATAAGGTAAATCATCATACTGGGTACGTTCTAACTCATGTTTGTGCATGATTGAAGACCGGTGGAGATGATTCAATGGACAAGAATGAAGCTGCTAAATAAAAAGTCAAGTAATACAAAGTTATCTAGAGGTGAGCTGCTGCTGCAGGTAACTTTGAAAGATGCAGAAATACAACGCCTTAAGGACCAGATGCCTCAAAGAATAAACAACCTTACGGACCAGGTAACTGTAACAGATGAGGAAATACTAAGCCTTAAAAACCAGCTTAGTAAGAGAGATGAGGAAATTCAGAAGCATGAGCATGAACTAGCTTTGAAAGATAAGGAAATACTAAGCCTTAAAAACCGGCTCAATGAGGGACATGAGGAAATTAGGTACCTTGTGCATGACCTAGCTGTGAAAGATGAGAAAACGCAACAGCTTCATTACCAGCTCATATTAAAAGATGACAAAATTCAGAGACTTGGGATGGTCATTGATTCTGCAATTTCTGATTTAAGCAAAGCTCATAACATTACTGATGACCATCCTGATACTATACCAGCAAAAAAAACGGTAGTTGTAAAATTGTTAGGAGAAGAGGACATAATCGGGGCACACATGTCGAATACTGATGCTTCGATACGTTCCTATCCCGAGTAATTAATTCATGTTAAGGCAACCTGCTGCTAACGATTTCTTATACCGATTCATCTATGGTGGTCTATACATGTCAACTTTTGTCTTTTGGCTTTATAAAATCAATTTGTAATGCCTTATTCTGGGCAAAAAATTTTGTCCATCGTTTTTTAACCTTATAGTTACAAGTGGGGGAAAAAAAAGTAATTGATTTGATAATTTTGATGTGGGTTATTAAAAATTGTGATGAGGGTATTTGATAACTGTTTAAAAGATTTAGCCGTAAATTTGTTAAGATTCAGAGAGATAGTATTATAATTTATAAACACAACCACCAACCAACCAAATAAAATTAATGCAAGTGATAAGAGACATGAGAAGAAGAGCAAGCAGTCTAATAAGGAGCAAGTCGAGTGATAGATAAGCAAGTGATCAAAATCTAAATAAAGTTTTATATGTTATCCAATGTGTGAATATAAGAGATACAAGAAAAAGAGTTCAAAAATTTGTAAATGCTATTATAGGATTGGACCAATTGATCTCAGTTCACATATTGTTTTTTATGATAAACGGATTCTCCAAGCTAATACATTTAGAATAATTTAATAAAATCCTTTTAATATTGATTTGAATCTAAAAAAATACAACAAACTTCCTATCTAATAAGCAAACCACTTGAAATTAATCGGTTCACATACCGATTATATAAAATTAATGAACTCGTGGATCCAATAACTTGGTGATCATCTATGTATTTTTTTTAAACGCAATGTTATGCAATTTATAATATAGTAATTTTTTATAGAATGAATAAAAAATATTATATGTTATGACTTTGTTCTATATATTATATTAGAAAAAATGAATTGAAATAGGCTATTATTATTCCGTATCATGTCCAACTATCAATCGCTCACGCGATTTCTTGACTATGATCGGTTTGCTTTCTTCTTCTTCTTTTTCCCCCTCCTCTTACCACGCCCTACATGATAACCTTTCTTTCTTTCCACTCCTCATAAGTTGCAACTAAAGTGCTTCTTTTGTAAGGGCTTCTAAGAAAGAGGTAAAGTTTATTACTACACATCTACTCATATTTATTTAAAAAGATTTCTAACTTTGAATTTTCAAAAGATACATGAGGAAATTCAAAAGCATAAGAAGACCATTGAGTCTATCTATATTGATTTAAAAGCCGCTAAAAATGTGACGGATCAAGATCGGCAACAACCGAGGCTTGATGGTACCACCGAGTCTATGCTTATTAATTTAGAAAAAATATTTTCGACTTGTCGAAAATGCTATGCCACTTCAACGCAATTTGCCCCATGGACTTAAGGAAGTTAAAGTAAAGTATGGAGAAGTGGACATTATTGGGGCGATCATTATCTTATTTGATTAGGATATACATACTACATCTTTAATTTGTTACTTTCCTTGAAAATATAACTCTTGATATCCTTCACTTTTCTATTGAGATATTTAAGTTTTTTTCTTTTTTCCGAAAGATAGTTCAATCTCATATATTAAGTGAAAAAGTTGGGATCTTCTAAATGATCACAGACCCAAATAAAAAGAACAACAAAGTTCTCATAAGAGCGATCCAATTACAATCACTAGAAATAAAAGGATAATAAACACTTTTTTACGGAACATATAGTCTCTAACTACAATGCCTACTGATTTTGACGTAGTGTAGGCTAAGAAAGCCCAATCAAAATTAATTTTGATAGAGTCGAGAATTAGAGGATCCAACTAGAGGGAGGAGATGCGGTGGTCGGCAATAATGCCAACGTGAATGAGTTGGAAAAATAATAACGGTGTTCATATTCTTTCTAATTTTCTATCACTTTCAAGAGGATTTGATCTATGTGTTGGGTTTCCCTTCTAGTTGGAGGATGGCTCAAAGATTTGCCTACATGAGTCGAATCTTGAAGCCCATATAGAGGAGGAATTTTTTAATCGTAATTTTGGTATTTTCAAATAAACCTTATCTTCTCTTTTATTCTAAAATCAGATTAGGGAAGAAAGTAAGAGAGAAAAATAAAAAAAGGAGAGAGAGCCCGCAACTTTAGAAAGAAAGAGGGGCGAAAGTTTCAACACGGACCAGTCATGCTGACATTGCTTTGCTGGATTTGTTAACCGTTGGATCGAGTTCAAATTTGGTGGGCCCATTCAGGAGAGACAGATGATATTTTGCACGGTGAAGATCTGGTTTTAATTCTTGAAGAGTGAGATATGATGCTTGCAACAATGTTGTTTTCCGATAAAATCTGAATTTGGTTTCTTCTCTTTTTTTGTGTATCATCTATTGATGTGGTCACGCAAGTGTGTGTAACCTTTGATGCTTGTGGCTGATGTATTCCTCTAGTTTAATATAGAGAGGACTCCTTGTATTACCCATTATTATGATAAGGATAAGAGTTATAGGGATAATAATAGAGTTATACTATGTTACTTTAGCGTCATGTGATAATTTACAACTACCTTCATGCTTATCATCGTACTTATATAGATGCTCCGTAACATACTTGTATAATATATAGAAAAGTACAACCTTATCATGGGATTAGAGTTGATCGTGACTTAACCGTCCGGATCCTTTTTTTTTTTCCTTCCTTGTTAGAATCGGCTTAATAGCCCTCTGCTAAAGTAACCAATTGTAATTTTTTATTGCTTTCACTTCGCTCTCCACAAAATAGAGCAAAATTCAATTCTAGTATCTCTCCATATATCGATCTTTTGCTTTCCTCTGGACTCCATAGCTGCTGAAGACATAGAACAAACTTCAGCATTCTCTCTAGCTTCCCCTGCCATCACTTCATCTTTCATGGTTGCTCCTCTTCTCCCAAACCTAAAAATTCACTTCCTTTTCAAACTCACCACAATGAATTTTATCCTCTAGAAAACTTAGTTCCAACCATCTGCTACTGCTGCCATGGCTTGCTTGCACCACATAGATGGATCCCACCAGCCACCTCTCTGCACCATCAACAATGAACAAAACCTTTTATTCACTTAATGGGAATACGATGATCAATTAGTACTCACCTGGATCATTGGCTCCCTCTATGAAATGGTGCTTCCTTTGGTCGTTGGCGCTGCTACTCGCATAAGTCGCTCGGACAAAATTGACCATAACTTGTGGCATTGGAATAAGGACATAGATCAATCATCTCAAAAGCAATCTATATAGGCTCACTCAATCGCCCAGTGAGATGATTCCATAATTCTTCCAACGTGGAAAAGGCATGTTTGACACACTTTAATCCTTTGGTTTGGTTGTCCCCGAGGAGGATCTTGTCCAAGCTCTACTGCATGGCTTCGCCTCCCTTTATAGACCTTTTGTCCATTCCATGGAATCTCGGCATGAATCCATCGGTTATGAGGCCTTATATGGACTTGCTCTTAGTGAAGAGTTGTAGCTACAAGGAAGTCTCCATCGTGTTGATGTTCCCATAACGACTCACTATACCCATCGTCACAACCCAAACCGTGGTAGAGGATGCTACGGGATAGTACCTTCTGCTACTAATTCACACTACAAGAACAACTCTTCTCTACATATATAGCTCGACACCAACACCATCACATGTTACAACCGCAATGGTATCAATCACCTTGCCAATGTCTACCCCTCATCAAAATCTTGCACCTCCAAAACCCAAACCAAACCAATCTCCAACCTAGCACGATCACACCAACCACAACAACAATGGATTATGGACAATGGTGCTACTCACCATTTGACGACACAATCTGGACAACCTTGTTATTCACAATGAGTATAATGGTCTCGAAGAAGTCCGCTTAATATATGGTAAACTCATTCCCATATCTCATGTTGGTTCAATATTTTTTACACTACATAACCGTACATTTTCTCTTCTAAATATTTTGCATGTTCCTTTTAGCACTCAAAACTTACTCTCTGTGAGCAATTTCACAAATATTAACTCTTACTTTATAGAATTTTTCCCGACAAATTTTACATAAAGGACTTGGCTTCTCGAGAACTTCTACAAGTCGGACCCTTTAAAAACGATCTTTACACCTTCTTCATAGACTATGCAATGAGACAATCCTCTTTCATTCAAGCTCATAGCGTAACTTTAAAAACTTGGC